ACACACACACACACACACATACACACACACAGAATGATTCAGAAAAACCCTTGCACAGATGTGTTCCTGGATGAATTCTAAGACTTTCCTTTACGAAGATTTTATCTGATGCTTACTTTTTGAGTTATTAAAGGATAAAGCGAATCACAGGTCGCATATAGAAGATAAGCAGAAGCGACACTCACTGTCTGACGCGAACAACCATAAAGGGCATTGTAATCAGCTGTTTAAGGACATAGAATTATTCTGTCTCACATAATAAACGCTCATACATGCGCGCGCTCACACTGACACACACACACACACACACACACTCTCTCTCTCTCTCTCTCTCTCTGTCTCTCTCTCTCTTTGTCTCTATTACTTACCTTGGAGAGATTCACTGTCTTCATACCGTCGTTTCTTGATAAATAAAATTCACCCGAGTTGAAATTTTGCTTTTAATTTAAATCATAATTTTAGGACGTATGTCTCTAGATTTACAATAGATTCTAATCTAATGAATTGAGCATCTACGTTGAGCCTAATGGCTCATTATCAGTTATTGGAAAATTTCTTATTTTTAGGTTCAAAAGAAGTTTTCTGAACAGAAGTTGTAGATTAAGTAATATTATAAAAAAAGATTCTATTTGATTGTTCAAGTACCAAAACAGGTTTATAAGGTTTAATTGAAGTTGGAAAAGTTTCAAAGTAGGATTAAAATCTTGACTCGCGTCACAACCGTGAAGAAGCAATACGAAGACTTTTCACGTTTCCATGTGACAAATTTACGTTTCAAGCAATGAAACAAGAGTTTGTTTTTCTTTTAAAAGTAGTATCTGAAGAACTGTAATACTTTCATTACTGATTTACTCGCCCATTTGATCGATACCCGAGTCGATACCACAAGAACGATTTACGAAGAACAATTTACTAACTATTCTATCGGTTATTATTAATTAGTACCGATTAATTATTAACTCGAAATCGTTAGAAATAAGAAACGTTATATATAACATACACACATATACAACTCAACATGATCCGACACAAAGTCTGAGCTCAATGACAACAATCAAGCAGATTAGGTTAGGTTAGGTTTTACAGAATTAAGAGTAACATAATAGAAATCATTTATCGGCCGCTTGTAATTGTTGGTAAGTCAGACTGCAACTAGAGGCTACATTGGTTACAACATGCTATAAAAGCAGGCATTATTGGTTCATTTAACATTACGAATGTATGTTTCGAGATAATTCACGCGCTGAATCGTAAGGCTCGTTCGCGTCACAGCATGTTCTAGCATGCTCCAACGTGCACCAACAGGTTTCTGTCATAACTTCTATTCATTTTGACGGGCCCATTAGAACAAATTTTACGATTCAGCGTGTGAATAATCTCGAAGCACACATTCGTAATGTTGAATAAACTAATAATGCCTTGTAGCCAATGTCAGATTATCAATCGTGTCAATTATCACAATTACTTTTGGCAATGTTTATTAATATTAAATAATTTAGAATTATTCAATTTTAAAATTAAATTTAATATTAATTTAAAAATTAAATTTCATTTTTTAAATTTAATTATTTACGAATTAAAATAATTTTCCTCAAAATGAAATATTTGGTTACCTTAAAAAGACTAGATTAACTATTAATTGTTCTGAAAAGAACAATTTTCGGATATCTTGATCTTCTTTTTCATAGTAAATGCTCGAAGTGTCTATCGTCCATTGTGACGCAAGCTCTCATTGTAGCCCAACTCAATAAATTTATCTTTCCATAAAATCTGATAGATTTTCTGTCAGAAATTGTACATATGATGCGCCATTTAGCCTCCTTTCTGGAGGATTACTGAGCCTAATATTTTTATTCCATAATCCCAGCCCCCATATTCAATTTCCAATATTGAATTTAGAAATTTCTGAGCCGCATCACTCGCGGATTCTTGTCGTCCTATATGTGCATATTATGCAAGTTCAGAACTCCTTCTCATGTAAACAGCGATTCATCACTAAATATTACATAAAAATTCTGGATCTTCAGTTCTTCTGAGGAAATTCTCGCAAAACATTTTCCTCCGAGGATAGTCTTCTTCTCGTAGTTGCACGCTACTCTAATGGTAGGCAATTTTTCGTCTTTCAAAATTCGTATAATCAAATATGATAATCCGTGCTGTCGAACAATGTCTCGAATACTGGTTTCTGATTCTTGCTCAACGGCAGAAATGTTTCCATATTTCGTACATTTCTTGCATAACACTGCCTACCGGCGTCTTTTTTCTTTGGCAGGACGCTTTCGGTTTCGTACAACCTTTTCACTGCTTCGAGTATAACGCTGGTATGTGGACGTCTTACTCTATTTGAATACAGCTCTATGTATCTTCTTGCAGCAACGTAATATTGCCAATGACACTCATCGAGTGCCTTGAGCATATCATAATATTCTTCGTTATTGTACACTGCCATTTCTTGATCCTTCACTTCTATAATATTCAAGGGATTATTGATTTACGGATCAATCAATCCCCCGTATTTATCCAATCTTCGCGGGATGTCGCGCTTTTCCATCCTCAGCGACCAATCTGCGTCGCGGTGCATAGCGCGACCTCCCGCAAAGATCGGATAAATACGGGGGATCAATCCGTAAATCAATAATCTCTCGAGCATCGTAGAAGCGAAGGATCAAATTGGGTAGTATTAAGATTAGTTATTACGTTAGAATAAAAATTAATGAATATTAAAATTATCGTAACTCCTTCTGGTAAAACCACGGTCGTAACGTGGAACTTAGAGTCAGAGACGACTGAGAACAACGAAATACGGAATAAAGCGAGAACGAGTGCTCCTTCGTTTTTAGGAGATCAAAAAACGATAGTGACCGTAACACTTAAAGCAATTGGATCGATATTATGTACGCGGAAGTGTGTTTTCGGTCACAACTTTACGATTGAAATGTTAAATGCGCTTAAAAGATTTGTACCTCGACGAGGAAAATGCGATTCCATTTTGTCAGATAATGGCAAGAATTTTATCGGAGTTAGAAATGTATTACAACAAATCGGTGAATTCCTATCACATCCTGAACATCAGGCGAATGTTATTGACTTTGCATCTAAAGAAAATTTCATGGAAGTTTATTCCATCACATTTCTTTCACATGGGAGGTTTATGGAAAATGCGAATGTAAAGATTGTAAAAACTCATCTTAAGACTGTAATCAACGATACGTTATTGTCATTCAAAGAATTGTACACCGTCCTTACTCAGCATGAGGCGATATTAAATTCTCGTCCGTTGAGCAATGCTCCAGATAAATTGGGAATTTTAATACCTGGGCATTTTTTAATAGAAGCATCCCTTCTTGTGGTACCAGAAGAATCAGTACTTGACATGCCTACAAATCGAATTAATTGCTATCAGCTGTTATCGCAACTCCAGCAATCATTTTAGAAGCGTTGGTCAAAGGAGTACGTTATCCAGATGCAATAACATACGAAATGGAAGCTACTGCAGATAACTGCTGTACGTAATGACGAGGTAGAAATTGATAGATTAGCGTTAATCCGCGATAAAACCCTACTCCTCCTAAGATGGCGTATGAGTAGGATTTGTGAGTTACATCCTAGTTCTGATGAGTAAAAATAGTATAAGAGAAGATATATATGTTATCAATCGCCTGAAATGTTATGTACTAGCATATATATCTTATATTTTTTCGGTTCAAGCTCATCTCCGTTGCGCCTAAAAAATTTTTTTTTATTTACGTTATAATTCTGTTCTTACAATTATATTTAACTCAATGCAGTTTCTGTAAACCACATCGATGTTATTACATTGTTGTTATGTTATGTTGAAGTGATACTTCCTGGCCGGAATGTACGAAATTTTGAGCAAATTTGTGTCGTTTCTTTCCGAACGCCTGTGGTCACGCCTACAGTTAATGTTTGCAGCGCTAATATTATGTTTCGAGGCAACGGGAGGAGAAAGGATAATACTAAGCGAGACATATCATCAGCTACACCGTAAAAAAATAAAATTAAAGTTCTCAAAATCGTTCGGTGTCATTAATTTCAACGGGTATCAATCTGAATCCCACCCAGTCTGTCAAACGGGAAGACTTAAAACCAGAATCACAGAATATCAAAACTATATGAAAAAAACACGCTCACTCGGTCAGTCATAATCGAACATAGAGTACAAGGGGGTCAGGAATTCATGTGGGAAAATGTTACCATTTTAGATGAAAAACCTTATTACACAAAATGATTAATTTAAGAAATGTTATTTAAAACATAAAGAAATACAAACTTACAAACAGACACTAAAAATTTCCATAAAGCCTATCATCGACAAATTGTAACTCTGTAAGGCTCGAATCGTTAGTCAGTGACAGACATTTGTAACATGTAGAGCCGTGAACTATACAACATTAGTTTAATTTATAAAATAAAACTCAGTGAGTGCTCAACTTATTCATTTTTAATTGAATAAACACTAAGATCTAACATTTTATTATATTTCAACACACTGATTAAGACACAATTAATAAACACGAAATATTGCACAACAACACCTACAACGCTTGTGGTGAGTAATATTCATTTCAATGGTAAATTATCATTCATCTCATTTATATTCAGTTCAATATAGTGTTTCGATTTTCTCATCGATTGAGAGAGAGAATCATACAGCGTTGTAAGGAAATCCATTAATCGCGTTGCGGAGATATATCAGAAATAATGACAAATAACAGACATAAGTAACGCAATTGTACATCAATGCAGAATTAATAAATGCAAACATATACCATTGTCGTCGGAATCTCTGAAGAAGGCCCAAAGAAGAACAAAATCATGTTAGAAATATTATAAATGAATCATAAAATACGATAAATCAATTATAGAAAATAATTATCACGCGTTATTTATCGTGCTTGACTCCTATGCTATTATATCATTTTTAATTTGAATTGAAAAAAGTCATTATTATTTACATTAACCTATTATTTTATATTGACCTAAATAAACCCTTTGTTGTTCCGATGCCACCAATCGACTGAAGAATTTGTCCATCATGATTGAATATCTATACAAAAAGATTGTATTTTATTTACAATATTTATTAGTACAACAATAATAACGCAATGCAAGACAAATTTATAATTTTTGTACATACTTAATTTATCGAAATATATAGGGTTACCCATCGATCTCGAAAAATGCACATCGTACAAAAACTGTGTCATATTAAAAATATTATGTTTGTAGGAGTCATAAGATGGTGCTATCGATTCCATCGTAGTAGAGATGGAATCGGAATTTCCTAATCAGAGTTTGACCACCTTAAGTTGCCGCCATTTTTCATCAAAATTGTGAGAGAGAAAAATCAGAAAAGTGTTCTCTCACTTCATTTCTATAGTAGCGCTGCTACAGTTGCAGTTCTATAGAAACGCTCTATAAACTTCATAGTTTTTGACAAACATTCTTGCACGTTCAGGCGACTAGTTGGCGATTAAAATTTAAAGAAACGTAAAAATTGAGTTGTGTATAATCATAAATATTACGATAGCAAATCCATGGCCATGCATCATGCATTTAAAGAAAATGCATAATGTATTTTCATTATGCATTTAAATGGATGAAACGTGTCGGATCAATCATAAACCAGAGAGAAGGTGGTCAGATTCTGATTAAAGGTCTCTCATCATAAATGACGCGTCGTATTCTGACGTGCTGATGTAAACCCACAGAAAAAATTTCTACATTCAATGCTATTATTCCTCGATCTAGAATAAAATAAAGTCGATATAGAGCCAATCGTATTTATTCTTCAAAAAACAAATAAATATTATATATTACATATATTATTTATAACATAAATATTATTTATTTCAAATAAATGATAAGTATATTTTAAAAATATATTATCAAGAAAATATTCTTTGTAAAGATAATCGTTACTAAAATAATGAAGAATAAAAATTTAGCACTAGAATAATATTTTGTTACATGTATGTACACAAATAATAATCGGCGCGCACAGAGCAACTCATTTTCCAAAAAGTTAACGTCTCTTATGTCTCTCCCATTAGGTGTGGCGGGGGAAAGAAGAGACCGATCAGAAAGTTGTCACAAGAGGGTGAGTTTAAAAAGGGCGGGGGGGAGAGAGAGAAAGAGAGAGAGAGAGAGAGAGGAAATGTCTTAAATCATTAACTGATTATTACATACGACTCGATTTGCTATTACTCCTGTCCACACGTTTATCGCTCACTGATACTGGAATGCACTTTGTCGAACAGCATACGGATTTTTTACTGCTCGTAATAAATTATTATGGAAGTTGAACACGCCATTCAGTGTGAAAGTTGCTTCGTCCGTCCACAGAATGCGATCGAGAAGGACATTCCGCCGACGCTCATTTCGCCGACAGTTAATATTTCTTAAAAACAACGAGGACATTTTATAAAAATAATAAAAGTACACAGAAACAGATGCATGGCTCTTCATCTTGCGCAAAAAGCATATTTCGGAAGAAATCAAGTGCACGTGCGACACAACGCACGCTGTGAGTTTTATTTGAACGCTTACAGAATATATTCTCTTCTCAACTTCCACGCAAACACACATTTTTGCTCCAGCGTGTCGCCGAGATTGCAACGTTGATCCCAAAAACATCGAAACTATCTAAAAATAACAGTCTCATCTTGTTTTTGCTCAGGAAATCGTTCCGCGTAGAGACAAATGACACCACACGAGAGCGTTCATTTGTTATCAGCTTCATTTGTTTTTTCACAACGATCTATCGTTCAATCATACAGTGTCTTAATGTGCGTTCGCCCCAGGATATTGTGTTTATTTCAAGAAAATGGCAAATTATAGTGTTCAGGAACACACCGATATAGCTATTATGTACGATGTAGCCGGAGAAAACGCTCTTGCTGCCGTTCATCTCTACACATAACGATTTCCTGAGCGCGAACAACAACCCGATGCGTACATTATATTGAGAAGTGTTCGAGAAGTTTTCGGGAAATGGGATCAGTGTTGCTAAATCAGCACTACGCTGGAGCAAAAATGCGTCTTTGCGTGGAAGTTGAGGATAGAATTCTGCAAGAATTCGAAAAGAACGCCAGGAACAGCGTGCGTTATATCGCTCATACGCTTGGTCTCCCCCGAAATGCGGTGCACGATGGTCTATGTTGCAACCGACTGTATCATTTCCAACGGGTACAGCAATTTCTTGCGTTAGATGAAGAGCATCTGTTTCTGTAAAGGTATTTTTATTATTTTTACAAAATGTCCTTGTTGTTTTTAAGAAATATTAACTGTCGACAAAATGAAGATAGGATTGCTCGCGCAGCATCGGCAGAATTTCCTTCTCCCCGACCGCATCCTGTGGACGGATAAAGCAACTTTCACACTGAATGGCGTGTTCAACTTCCATAATAATTTATTACGAGCAGTAAAAAATCCGCACGCTGTTCGACAAAGTGCATTCCAGTATCAGTGAGCGATAAACGTGTGGACAGGAGTAATCGCAAATCGAGTCGTATGTAATAATCAGTTAATGATTTAAGACATTTCCTCTCTCTCTCTCTCTCTCTCTCTTTCTCTCTCTTTCTCTCTCTCTCTCTCTCTCTCGCACTTTTTAAAATCACACTCTTGTGACAATTTTCTGATCGGTCTCTTCTTTCTCTCGCCACACCTAATGGGAGAGACATAAGAGACGTTAATTTTTTGGAAAATGAGTTGCCACCCTTCTCGAAGACGTTCCTTTTTGCAAACGGGAGGAATTCATTTTTCAACACGGAGCTCCTGCGCATTTTTCGCGACAGATACGCAATGTTCTAGACACGCGCTATCCGGGCAGGTGGATGGGTCGAAGTGGTACAATCATTTGGCCGACGCGGTCGCCGGATCTTAACATGCTCGACTATTTCGTTTGAAGTCACATCAAAGATTTAGTCGAACATATTTGTGATGGTATTGAAACTGAGATACGAGAAGCAATTTTCGCAGTCTTCATTACGCCAGAAATAGCGCACTGCGCGACGCGCAATATTACTTGAAGAACCGAAATAAAATGTTTACGAGAACGACGAAAGCACTTCGAGCAATTCTTGCATTAAAATGCAAGAGTAAATTAGACCTACTGGGGATACCACTTAAAAAAAAAATGGGCCATGCTATCTACTGCAAGGTGGTATGGAAATGATATATCAGTTCCTTGTCACAGATAAAAGAAATTATTAGGTGTTGGAATTAATTCGTAGCGTTTTTTAATGAAAGAATGTTATTTATTTCACATGAGCATTAAAAAATACATTAATGAAAGTACTTCCCATCACTTGTAAAACGCTACGAATTAATTCCAACACCTAATATTTCTCGACTTGCGAGTCTGTATCACATTTTTTTTAACGGTACAGCAAAGAAACATTTCTTTGAATCAAAGAAATCTTTCTCTGAGTGTGCCGATTATTATTTGTGTACGTACAAATTTTTATTCTTTATTTTTTTAGTAACGATTATCTTTATAAAGAATATTTTCTTGATAATATATTTTTAAAATACATTTATTATTTACTTGAAATTAATAATATTTCTGTAACATTTTTCTATGTATGTACAAAAGTATTTAATGTGCAAGCTTTAGAACGAATTAAACTGAATTCTCGAAAAGTTCTCGCTCAATTTTCGCAATTGAGATATATATTTCAAAAGCGCCGAATATTCGCCATTGAGAGTTTAGCGCGCGGAGAGCATGGATTGCCTAGCAAGATCCTCGCGCCGCGCACACCGCTGCGAACCGTCATAACTCAAACGGCGCGCTTGCAAGGCTATCCTCGCTCTCCACGGCCCGCGTGCCGAGCGATCGGTAGTATACACTTTGCAGTAGTAGGCCGGGCGAGCGCGATACGAGACTTTTCAATTCACAAGAGAAGGTTCGCAACTGTCCGGAACCAATTTGATTCTTCATGAGATATGTTGTTAAATACGAAAATCTAAGAAATATTTTTTTATACGTGCACTAACTCATGATTAAGGGGTGAAACATCCCTTAAAAAAACAATATATTTCTTTCAAGGCGAATATCGTCGGAAGTATAAAATATAGAAAAAATTTTTTATAAAAAAGTTGTACTGTTTCAAGAATAATTTAAAGATACAGATAAAAAAAATTTTGTTTATTTTTTTATTTAACAAAATATCCCTACCACCCATAATTTTTTTAAATTTTTAAATTTTTTTTTAATTAAATTAAAGATTATTTTTTTACGAATTCAACCATGTAAACAATACAATATATCATTTTCGAAAATTAATTATTAACGCTTCAATATGTACGTAATCCATATTCATATGCGTAAGTAATTGTCGTCGAAACAGTAAAATATATGAAAACTTGAAAAGATGTCTTAAGTAAAATTTGTTTAATTTTCTATATGTTTTAATATATATGTATTTAAATTTTATATGCAATATACATATATATGTATATGTATTTAGATTTTCTAAATATATAATATTTTCTAAATATATAATATTTTTAAGATATACAATATGTACATATTAACCCTGTTATTATCTCTTTGATTTCTGTTATTACTTATATCCAAATTCTAAACAAAATTGGAAGGTTCGTAACATATTCTATAAGATTTATAAGAATTTTGAAGTATTTATACCTTTATACGGGAGTTTTGCAGACAACTTTTTACTAATCATAAGATTTACAAGAAATCGTAAATATTTACAAATAATCTTACGTCTTATGATACATATGCATAAAATTAGAATACTGGTTATAAGTTCTTACGAGTTTTACGAGAACAAGTTACGAGTCTTACAATTTTGCTTAAAATTGACCAATTAATTTCTTCTAAAAATTAAAAATAATTTCATTCCAAATCCATTCTTTTATAATAAAATTATTGTAAAAGATTAAATTTTTAAAAAATAAATTTTTTAAATTGATGCGTATATCAATATATATATGAAGTATATTTAAATTGTTAGAAAATCTCGTGTCTGAATCGTCGTGTATAATGAGATATAAGAAATAACCTTCTAAATTACGTATCAC